GCACACGCGCACGAAGCGAAGCCGCAGCTGGAGAAGCCTCCAAGAAGAGTTATGACTTCTAGGACCGTACAAGGCCCAAAGGAAAGTACATCCCAAGAAGAACCGAAACCGCGACCAGCGACGAGCCAGGCGCCATTCGGTACGTCTGGGCATCGAAATGCAGTGTGTAAATTACCCAGATTTCAGGTACTTCGCCTTCCGAGGTGGTCTCTTCCGAGGACCGAGTGACACCGAAGCGCTTGGAAGTCGCCACTGCTGAAAATGCAGCCGTCGCACTGAGAAAGACCACGTCAAATGTGGAAGATACAATTCCAAGTTTCACCACCACCGACGAGTCCCCGAAACATCCTCACAAATGCGAACCGCCCGCGATGTAAGATGATTATGTATTACTACTATTTCGGGTCTTCGTTACGCGAGGGTAGTCGCCTGTGCTGCATTCCGCCAGTGACACGGCTAGCGCTTTGAAACATACGCACGCTCTTGCCCTGACGTGGAAGAACGGCATCACACAAATGACTTAGCAGTTCAGTGTAGAAATGTTTGCCCGTACATTTGATCGTTGCCGACGAATGTGTTCTACCGCTATGTAGTCCATGTCTAACGTCGAATTAACAGCAGGAATTAAATTTTCTTCCCAGCATTTCCAAGGTGTCGCATAATCGTTTTCTAAAACTTAATAACTTGCAGGAAAACAGCAAAGCACATAGTCACTCTGCTTGATGGAAACTAGCAGTCAGAAATTACACCATGCATACTTGTATATGAAGTCATACTAGAATCCTCCGTTGCCCGTCCCAATCCCAGATGAGAGAGGAGGAGGGGTGAGGACGATGGCGAAATCTCCCGTGTAACTTAGTCACCTGCACCTCATAGTATTTCCATAATCGAACGCCATACCATTTCGGTCGTATCCTGAGCTCCCAAAGTTCATGGGGGCTGTTTCGAAACTGAGGTTATAAGGCCGGCAGGTACTGTCTGGGTGGAAATGCACTCTCGTCAACGAAGCGCCCGGATTATTTCATTGGTGAATTTTGAATTCCAAATTAAAATTTTGAACCTCCTCGAATAGATCCTATTCTGATCAGACATCGGTTTTACGACACGCGCCCAGGTCATGACTGGTGTTCTAGTAAAACTGAACCTAGTTTTAAAATCGGTCGATGGAAACCTCACTTTAAAAGTACCAATCCTATGACTGAAATCGCAATGGCCTAAAGCCTGATCTTTATACAGGTATATGCGCCCAAGTCACAGTAAAAATAGGACTCCTTTTGGAAGAAGCAGAATATGCTCTGTAGAAATGCCGAGCCCCCTCATTCTAATGGGCAATTTCAAGGCGCATGTCAGAGTAGACACTGAAAAGCGAATTGGCATAAGTGGAGAAAACTGCCGTAGCGACCTCAACAATAACGGCATGAAGTTGTTGCGGTTTTGTGCAAACAACGGACTGGCCATTAGGAAGACCTTCTTCGAGCATCGTAGAGTACATCAGTACATCTGGTACCGGGGAGCTTGTTCACAGAAGTCGATGATCGATTTGATAATCGTATCGTCTGACTTAAGATACTCTGTAATGGATGTTCGCGTTCACAGAAGTGTAG